TTAATTTCGGTTGAGCTCTCTTGGGCGGAAGTGTGGGTTTGTAAACAGTGACAATTATGGCTGATATAGCGAGACTCTTCGGCAAAAGCGAATTGAGTCCTGACCCGTCACTGTGCGTTTATCTAAAAATAAATACGCTAAAATTCACTGAAGAGCTGTGAAACAGCGAAACAGTCTGTCTGTCGATGACATTATATATATATATATATATATATATATATATATATATATATATATATATATACTACGAAATGACAAAAGTTCGACAATTATTTTAAGCTATTTTATATATATATATATATATATATATATATATATATATATATATATATTTTTTATTGGTATACGTTATTTCTATAGGGACATATATTTAAGTAAATGCTCTGTTTATAATAAACATTATTAAAAACATTTACTGGCCTAAACATCCGAGAAACTAAACGGGTATAGCAGTTCAACATATATGACGGTTCTGTATAGGAAACAGGTTCGATTCCTGTCGGAGAACACTTATTTTCTATGAAAATTTCTCGGACATTCAGGCAGGTAAATGTTGTTAATACTATTTATTATAAACAGGGCATTCTCTATATAAATAACGTATAACTATATATATATATATATATATAAAATCTACCTATATATGAATAAGAGAGAGATTATAGTTGTTCCAGCGAGAGAAAAGTATATTTTAAAGAGAAGCAGCGAATATTTTTTATTATAATGTCGATGTTTTTACATTCATTTTCCATATTTTTCTCTCACGGGTTTGGAGTCGTGTGATCTTCATCAGGCGAAGAATAATTATTTCCATATATTCTTTAAACGAATTACATTTTTTTTAATGTTTTCTCATTTTTGACCATTGCATTTAGTCTGTGGTAGTAATTCTAATTCGTCTTAGGAGTTGCAGAAAAATATTCCCTTGCTTAAGGGGTAATAAAAAATAGTATTGGTCAGAGAAAGGGAAAGAAATAGGGTCTTTGTTCTTATTTTTTATGTCCTCTCTCTCTTTGTAATCCTTTCTCTATTTTTCTGTATTGTATATGTCTTTTGATAGTATGTGTATATATATATATATATATCTATATATATATATATATATATATATATATATATATATATATATATATATATATATATATATATATATATATATATATATATAATATTAGTGGTAAATATACATACATATGCAAAATATATAAATATGCATACATAGGTGCATAAACATACATGTATATTTTTTAATAAAAACTCCAAGAGGATAGAATCCAGGTAGAACTCAATGTTCAGGACAGAGTAAGGATAATCTTTCTCCGTTGTCAGTGTAGGGTTCGTGTGTGTGTTTGTGTGTGGTCTGTCTTATATATTTTATATATGTGCGTATGGTGTGTGTTTATATATGTGGGGTTATGATTTCTTTAAGCTGGTTTAAATTTGTCTAAGTTTTTTTTGTTGTATATATATATATATATATATATATATAGATATATATATATATATTTTTTAAATTTGTCTAATTTTTTTTTGTATATATATATATATATATATATATATATATATATATATATATGTGTGTGTGTGTGTGTGCGTGTGAATAAAAATTGACAAGAGAAAAAACTGTACTTCGCTGACGCGTTACGTCCTCTGAAGGACATTATCAAGTCAATGATAAAATCCCTCAGAGGACGAAACGCTTCGGCTATGTATGGTTTTTTTCTCTTGTTTCTTTTTATTCATTCTTGTCCCTGCTACAGATACACCCCATTTGAGAATCTCTCTCTCTCTCTGTGTGTGTGTGTGTGTGTGTGTGTGTGTGTGTGTGTGTGTGTATGTGTGTGTATGCATATCTTGCCTTTATTTGACTCAATATTTTCAGTTATTCAAACATAACACACAAAAAAAAATATTCTTTAAGAATTTTTTTTTTAAAGCTAATTGTTGTAAGCTTCGGTGCATTTTTTTTTCTGATTTCCGAAGTGAATCTGAGATCAATTGTCCAAGGTTAAGTAAGTGCTTTCAAGTTTCTTAAGACATTATCAATGTTCGTTTTTTTTGTTTGTTTGTTTTTTTTTTTGTTTATTTCGTTTTTTCTCACAGTGTTATTTCTACGTTGACTGATTGATATTTAGAGCTTATCAATCCTTTGTGGGTAAGTAAAAGGCCGGATCATACTTTGGGGATGAACAGAATAATTCATTTTTTCTTGCCGAGTGAATAAAAAATTTAGTTTTACCCTGTCGTGGTAAACACTTTTTCAAGACCGAATCTATCTTCTATATTTATAAGTCTACCATTCGTCCTTGCTTTGAATATTGCTGCAGCATCTGGTCTGATGCTCCTGCTACATACTTAGAAATTCTGGATAAAATCCAATAAAGAATCTGCAATCTTGTTGGTCCTGATCTGACATCTCGGCTTCAGTCACTTTCCCACCGGCGTGACGTTCACATATGTACAAATTGTACACATAGGAACTATTTAGGACTTCATAGAGACTCTGGGGTATTATGGTGACTGTAGTAACAACGGTAAGTAAGAATGTGTTGTTTCGATGTAAGGAATACTGTGGTATGTTTGGATCAGTAATCATGGATAGCTACATCCGACCTCTTCCCCCTATTTTGGCCTTGAGCACATGTTTGCATTATTCAAAATTATATTACTTTCCGCTATGTAAATGTTCATATTCTTTTTGTAAAAATTGATATATATATATATATATATATATATACTAGCAGCAAGGTCCAGCGTCGATTCAAAAAATCGTACAACTCATACAGCAATCGCTATCACTTGACTTAAAATATTTTTGCCCTTACTTGCCTTTAAAAGAGTGCCCTTTTCCGTGCTGATGTTGCTACATGCCTTACTTCTTGCCTATCTCACACTGTGAATTTTTTCTAAGCTCTGTACTAAACATTAAATCTGTTATGAAAAAAGAACTAAACAAAATGAACATAAAACGATCAGCTTTAAAAAAGGACTCGTAACTGGAAAAACCAAATGAAAAAAGAATGTTAACAACAAATACTTTTTCACACCAACCCAGTTCTGCGGAATCAGAATCAACGTTGAGTTTAAGCAAGCGAATGAGCCAATTGGAGTAAAGTGCAATGCAAATTTAAATTTTTCCCACTTGTGACGAATGCAGCTATCGATTTTTTTGTCAGTCAGCTGTTGGCTCACGCTGGCCAATAGAATCTTCCTGCCTATTCGTGACAGGCAACTACAGGCTCTCACTCTGGCCAGTAGAAAATGGTCGCAAACTACATGAAAACTGCCGTAGAAGCATGAAAAAATCAATTATTTCCACTATCGATGGGAGTGGGGAAATGCAAAGTCGGTCTTGGCCTTCCCACTAACTTGAGCATGTGCATGTAAATTTTGGTGCAAATCCGTCGAAAATTGCGGCCGTGCATTCGTTACACACACACACACACACACACATCTTGCCTTTTATATATACATATATATATATAATAAAAAGGCTTAAACACTAATATTCCATGGTCATAATTTATTACATTGGATTCGTAAATACGATCCAATTCATCAGACCTACAAATTCAAAGCAAAACAGAAAAAACAACTCCGGAAATAAAAACAGAATTTAGAGAGACTGTAAGTATGAGAGTGTGGGACGAATGTTAGAGCTAAAGAGGGGGGTAACAGACGAGAGAAGGTGGGAGATTAAACTTTAACAGAAGTTTAGGAGAGGTGAGTGGAAGGGGTTTAAGTAAGAGAAATATGAATATTGTCGGATGTCTAATGCATAAAGATACATTTCGTGGTGACATGCACCCACCATAGACGATCTTATGTTAATGTATATATATATTTACCACTAATATTATTTATCTATCTATCTATATATATATATATATATATATATATATATATATATATATATATATATATATATATATATATATAGTGACATTGTGATCAACACCCAGAGGCGATAGTAATTTTTATATTTCAGCTAAATATTCAGGCTATGTTGTTTTTGTTCATTATTATTTAAAAATGGTTCCTGCGTAAATTTTCATGTCGGCAGAATAGAGTTTCCGGCATCCTGTCGCGATCCTGCCATTGCGAGGGCTAAGAGCTCGCTTCACTTTAGAAGTCGTCAATAGTAAATAATGATGCCATCTGTTATGGAAATAGGCTCTGTCCTTCCGGTATATTTTGGACATTATCTTATTCTCTTTTGAGAATAGGTTTCCTGGCAAAAAGAATATCGACCTCCTCGCCCAAACCCGCCCTAACAGCGGGATCGAAGGTGTAAAATTATGTATTATACTGTTACTTGTTCACGTATAATATTGATTGCTATTTTTCACAGAACCGTACATTCTTTGTCAAGTACGTAACAGATAAAGTCGAAATGGTGTAAGGAATAACTCTTTCATTATTTGAGATGAGATTTCTGTTATCTGTCTTTCAAATCGTTAATTTGATCCTTTCATTCATTTCACTGAATTTTCATTGTTTCTTTTTTTTTCTTTTTTTGCCATATTTCATATACGTCAATTTCTCCTTTTGTCATATATCGTATACGTCATTGAAACTGGTGTCATTTTTTTTCCGTGATCAGTTTTGTTTTATCTGAGTCCAATTCTTTAATATTTCTTCCTTTATTTGGTTCTAACTCTCTTTTTCTCTCCTGTTTTTAATTTTTTTTTTTTACATCTTTCTTGATGCTTTATTTTAACCTTTTTTCTTTCTTTTCTTTTTTTTTTCGTTTTTTTTTGTTTCTTTTCATTTGATCTTTCTCTTTTCTTTCTTTTTATAAATCCCTTCTTTTTTGTTTCTTTTCACTTTCTTTTTTTCTTTCTTTCTTTCTTTCTTTCTTTTTATCTCTCTGTCCTTGTTTTATTTTCGCTTGCTATCTTTCTTTTCTTTCTTTGCCTTTTTTTCATTTTATGCTTCTTTCTATTTGATCTTTCACTTTTCTTTCTCTTTTGATTTCCTTCTTTTTTGCTTCTTTTCAGTTTCTTCGTTTATTTGTTTCTATCTATCTATCTATCTATCTATCTATCTATCTATCTATCTATCTGTCCGTCTGTCTGTCTTTCTCTCGTTTTTACTCCGTATCTTTCCTTATTTTCTTTACTTTTTTAAACTTGTTTTCCCCATTTGATGTCTCTATTTTCTGTTTTTGAATCCGGTTTTCTTTTTCACTTTCTTTCTTTCTTTTTCTTCCTTTCTATCTACCTATCTATCTTTCTTTGTTAACTTTCTTTTGTTCTTTTCCTTTTTATTTTTTGCTTTCTTTCCATTTGATATTTCTCTTTTCTTTCTTTTTATAAATCCCTTCTTTTTTGTTTTCCCTTTCTTTCTTTCTTTCTTTCTTTCTTTCTTTCTTCTTGTTTGCTTGCTATCTTTCTTTTCTTTTATGCTTCTTTCCATTTGATCTTTAACTTTTCTTTCTTTTTTGAATACTTTCTTTTTTGTTTCATTTCAGTTTCTTTATTTGTTTCTATCTATCTATCTATCTATCTATCTATCTATCTATCTATCTATCTATCTATCTCATTGAATCATATATATCTCTTTGCTCATATCTATCTATCTATCTATCTATCTATCTGTCTATCTATCTATCTATCTATCTATCCTATCCCATTCGGATCATAGCTATCTCAGTCTGTTTATATCTATCTATCTATCTATCTATCTATCTATCTATCTATCTATCTATCCCAGTCTTTTCTTATTTATCTATCTATCTATCTATCTATCTATCTATCTATCTATCTCTCTATCTCATTCGAATCATATATATCTCACTTTGCTCATATCTATCTATCTATCTATCTATCTATCTATCTATCTATCTATCTATCTATCTATCTATCCCAGTCTTTTCTTATCTATCTATCTATCTATCTATCTATCTATCTATCTATCTATCTATCTATCTATCTATCACTCTTGTTTACTTGCTATCTTTTCTTACTTTCTTTACTTTTTTAAATTTGTTTTTTTTTTCCATTTGATGTCTCTATTTTTCTGTTTTTGAATCCCTTTTCTCTTTTCACTTTCTTTCTTTCTTTCTTTCTTTCTTTCTTTCTGTTTTCTGTCTTTCTTTTTCTTCCTTTCTATCTACCTATCTATCTTCCTTTGTTAACTTTTTTCTTTTCTTTTCCTTTTTTTTATCTATCTTTTTTTCTTTTGCAATCATCTTTCTTTCTTTCTTTTCTAGTTCTTCCATTCTTTGTATTCTTTTCAGTTAGCATTTTTCCTATTTTTTCTTTAAGTTACATTTTTAATTTCTTCATTTTCATTCAATCATTCATTCCTCTCTTGATTATCTTCATTCATTTTACTTTTCGTTTTTATTGTTTTCTTTCCTTGTTCTTAATTTTTTATTTGTGATTATATTCATTTATTTATTTCCAATAATTTCTTTTTTTCTTTTTTCTTTCTTTCTTTCTTTATTTATTTATTTATTTATATATTTACGATCGTTTTTCTTTCTTCCCAATAATTCTTTTATTTTACTTTCAAAACTATTACTCTTTCTTTATAATGTGTTTTCTTTCTTTCCAAAACTTTTTCCTTCGTTTTTTCCAGAATTTTTTCAATATTTTTCTTTTTATTTAGGATTATTTGATTTCTTTCTCTCTTTTTATATTTCTTCACTTTATTTTATTTTCCTTAATTAATTCTTTCTTTATTCATTCAGTCACTCATTCATTACTGTTAATTTCCTTCTTCCATTCCCTTTTTATATTTCGTCTCTTCATTTTTTCTTTCATTCATTCTTTCCTTCCTACCTTCTTTCTTTCTTTCTTTCTTTCTTTCTTTTTCATTGTTGTGTTTTTTCTTCTTCCTTTACCTTTTTTATAATCCGTCCCTCCATTTTCTTTTCTTTCTTTCTTTCTTTCTTTCTTTCTTTTTACATTATTGTGTTTTTTCTTCTTCCTTTACCTTTTTTATAATCCGTCCCTCCATTTTCTTTCTTTCTTTCTTTCTTTCTTTCTTTCTTTCTTTCTTTCTTTCTTTCTTTCTTTTTCATTGTTGTGTTTTTTTCTTCTTCCTTTTACCTTTTTATAATCCGTCCTCCATTTTTTTTCTTTCTTTCTTTCTTTCTTTCTTTTCTTTTTCATTGTTGTGTTTTCTTCTTCCTTTACCTTTTTTATAATCCGTCCCTCCATTTTCTTTCTTTCTTTCTTTCTTTCTTTCTTTCTTTCTTTTTCATTGTTGTGTTTTTTCTTCTTCCTTTACCTTTTTTATAATCAATCCCTCCATTTTCTTTCTTTCTTTCTTTCTTTCTTTTTCATTATTATGTTTTTTTTTTCTTTTATCTTTTTTATAATCCGTCCCTCCATTTTCTTTCTTGATTTCTTTCTTTCTTTCTTTCTTGATTTCTTTCTTTCTTTCTTTCTTATTTTCTTTTTTCTTTCTTTCATATTACTTTGTTTTTTCTTCTTCTCTTTTATATATTTCGTCTCTCTATATTCTTTTTTTCTTTCTTTCTTTTCCATAGCTGTATTTTTCTTTCATTCATTTGCTTAGTCTATTGCCTTTCTTTCTTTCTTTCTTTCTTTTATATTTTTCTTCTTTTCTTTCTCCTCTTTTCTTTCTTTCTTTTTATTTGCTATTTTTCTTATTCTACATTCATTCTTTTCTTTCTTCATTTCTTTCATATTTATGTTTCTTTCCTTTCTTGTCCTCTTCTTTCCTTTTTTTCTTTTTATTTGCTGCTTTTCTTTCTTTCTCTTTCTTAATTCATTTCATTTATCGTTTTCTTTTCTTTGTTGCATTTTCATTTTTCCTATTTAGGAGTATTTATTTTTATTTTTCAATTTGTTTCTTGTTTTACATCAATTTATTTGTTTCGTTTTTCTTCTTTTTATCCTTCTTTTCTTACTGCATTTCTCGCTCTTATTTCGTTTTTTCAATCATTTTTCTTTTTTCTGTCTTTATTAGACCGTTTCTCCTTTTGCTTTCATTCATTCTTTTCTTTTATTCTTTAATTTCTTTTTGCACTTTTCTTTATTTCTTTTGAGTTGTTACTTTCATTCATTCATTCATTCATTACTTATTTATTTATTTATTTATTTATTTATTTACAGTTTCGTTCCATTTTCTTTCTTTTCAGTTTTCATATTCTTGCATTCACTTTTTGATATTTCTGTATATAAATTTTTTTTCCTTCCTTTTTTTCTTTTCCATTTGTTTTCTTTCTTTTTATCATTTTCTCTCTTGAATTTCGTTCATTTCCTTTCTTTCTTTGTTCCCTTAATTCTTTCTTTCTTTCTTTAACTTGCTGTTTTTCTTTCTACTTTCCATTCTTTCGTCTTTCTATCTTTCTTTCTTTTCTTTCTTTCTTCTTTCTTTAGAAAGAAAGAAAAGAGAAGAAAGTAAGACAAAAGAAGATAGAAAAAATCTTCTTTTGTCTTACTTTCTTCTCTTTTCTTTCTTTCTATCTTTCTTTCTTTCTTTCTTTCTTTCTTTCTCGGTTTATCTATTTGCTTTTAATCCTGCTTTTCATTTTTTTACCCTTTCTTTTTTTGTTTCTTTCTTTCATTCTTCTCCTTTCTTTCTTTGGTCTTTCATTCTTTCTTTCTTTCCTTCTTTTTTCTTTCGTCTTCTTTCTATCTTCTTTTGTCTTACTTTCTTCTCTTTTCTTTCTTTTTCTGTCTTTCTTTCTTTCTTTTTTTTTCTTTCTTGGTTTATCTATTTGCTTTTAATCCTGCTTTTCTTTATTTCCCCCTTCGTTTTGTTTGTTTGTTTGTTTGTTTGTTTCTTTCTTTCTTTCTTTCTTTCATTATTCTCTTTTCTTTCGTCTTCTTTCCATCTTCTTTTGTCTTACTTTCTTCTCTTTTCTTTCTTTTTCCTCCTTCCTTCCTTTCTTTCTTTCTTTCTTTCTTTCTTTCTTTCTTTCTTTCTTTCTTTCTCGGTTTATCTATTTGCTTTTAATCCTGCTTTTCTTTATTTCTCCCTTTCTTTTTTCTTTCTTTCTTTGTTTCTTTCTTTCATTCTTCTCCTTTCTTTCTTTCTTTTTTCTTTCTTATTCTTTCTATCTTCTTTTGTCTTACTTTCTTCTCTTTTCTTTCTTTCTTTCCCGGTTTATTTCTTTGCTTTTAATCCTGATTTCCTTTTTTTAACCCTTTGTTTTTTTGTTTCTTTCTTTCTTTCATTCTTTTTCTTTCTTTCTTTCTTTCTTTCTTTCTTTCTTTCTTTCTTTCTTTCTTTCTTTCTCGGTCTATCTATTTGCTTTTAATCCTGCTTTCCTTTATTTTTCCCTTTGTTTTTTGTTTCTTTCTTTCTTTATTTTTTCTTTCTTTCTTTCTTTCTTTCTTTCTTCTACGTTCTTTGATTTTTTTTCTTTTCAGTTGTTGCA